ACAGCCGCCTGCATGATTTGACATAATTTTGATGAATGATTCGAGCTGGGCTTGAGACTGTTGCCATATCTGCTGACAACCGAGGACAACTATATTTCGTCATGGTCGCATGGTATTGCAAATGAGTTTGGACAGTATGCAATCGGTGAATCATTGAAAAAAGACCCACAAATGCACATTATTTTGAATGGAAATAGTTTCTTTAGGGACAAGAGTTCGTATAAAAGTTAACTTTTAACAAAGACAGGACGAACCAATGCTCCACCCTATAAAGTCTGAGTATATATGTTTAATATTTTATTATTAAGATTCAAAAAATATACGTTAAGACCCATACGTGACAGCACTCACAAACCCCCATTGACTCATTAGCTTTGTTTAAAATGTAATCTGTTTTAATCTGCCGACTACCTTATCAGAACGATTATTTTTTATTTCGGTTTCCGAAAGCAATCTTGCCTCTGTCTAATTCAACACAAACAAATATCAAAATACATAGTTATTCACCTAAAAACAATTTCATTACATTAAGAATAAGATAAATTCTAACAAACTTTTCAAACAAAAAAGGTGCTGGTGGAATAATGTATGCAAAACTATATTGCAAGAGTTCCAATTAATTTTTTTAGCTCATTTTATAAAATCTATATATTAAACCATAGTATGTTATTTAATGACAGGTGGCTCTTTCTGTCATTATGATTTTTTAAAGGTTTCTATATTTTTAAGTAGCGTTAAAAGGGCATCTTTCCTAGATATTATATCTGTTGCTAAGCTCTTTTCGGGTAGATTAATTTAGATAAGTCAGTATTCCTATTGCACACAGTAAAAATCAGAATGGGCGAAACTAAATCACATTTTATTTTGTTTAGAATCGTTTTCACAGGAATAATCTGTTTATGAATGCACATAAATGATGTATTTTAAACAAATTTTGATTAAAGCACATTCTTGTTTCTACTTAAGCATTCCTTGCTCAACTTACTTTCCTGATCCCATAAAATCCAAACAAATGGTTTTAATGAAACATAAAATTAACAAAGCATTGTAAACAACTCGAGCAAGGATGGTATTCTGTTGGATTTTCGAAAGCGGCGATCCTCACCCCAGTGCCCGGCAAGACAATGGCGCCAAAGGGTTAAAGGTGTAAACATTTGACAAAAGTGTCACAGCAAAGATACGAGTTCGCCCTGCTACAGCTGCTGGGCATTGCTACAGCTTGAATTGCTAAAGGACCCTTGAGGAGGGCGGCAGGACACCGTCTCGTTGTGATGTTAATAGAGCAGCTTGCTATGGATATGGAAATGGAAATGGAGAAATCTGCAAGTGTGTGCATTTCTTGGTTTGACAGCTGTCAAAGGGCTAATAAGTCATATTCATATTCCTCTGCGAGTCTATTCGTGCGCATTTGGGGTCAGGATTATTGAATGTAATTGAAATCACTGATTGATTGATTGATGGATAGATGGTTGGTCGGATTGGAAAAGAGTCAAGCATACACACATGTGGGTTTGCTTTATTAGCGGCTCAAGTACCAGCATATACGTATGTATTTTATGGACGAAGTTAACTCCTTGAGCTGATAAAAATGACAACAAGGAAAATGTCATTCGTTAAACTTATCCTTACACAAGAAAGGAAGCTAACAGTTGGTTACTATTAATACAGTTAATTTAAAAAACTAAGGAATTTTGATGGAATCAATGTTGATACACATTTTTCACTGTTTGTGATTTTAAAGAACCTCATGGAAAAGTTTCATAGTTTCAGAATGGGAATTGCAAGACAGAATATATATACTTTACAGGGTCTTAATTTTCTGAATAAACTTATAATGATGTAAGGAATTAGAAATATTGAATTCAAAAGCTATTATGTCAATGCCCAAGTCCCTTAAAAGCTAGCTTTACCTTTACATGATAGAAGCTGCAACTTAAAGCCTGTAAGTATTTGTCTTGTGTAATCAATCCCTTGAAATACTTGCAAGGAATTTCTCAATTAGAGCAACCAGCAGAGCAACAAATTGATTGATTCCCATCAGTCTTACCTCAGGAGAGGTGGGACTTAACCGGAGAGGAGATAAGCCAACTTGCAGACGAACTAGGCAAGTTACAGCAGAGGAGAGCAGAGCAGAGCATCCTGCAAGTAGAGGATGTAATCCTGTTAGGCAGAACTTTGGACAGCCCTGGAGGATGAACTTCCGTGGCAACCCATCTGCAGCTCGCAGCAAATGCGCAATTTTCAGCTTGACTTGGCGCATGAAACAAATTCGAGCTGAGAACACTGAGAGCGGGGCATGTCAACCTTAATTGAAAAAGTAAAAGCAAGGCGGACGGGAGAGCGGAGCCGCATCCTTGCAGCCTCCTGCCGCATCCTTTTTCACTCCTATACTCCTTTTTTCGGTGGCGGCTGTTCATTTACAGGACAGCGCACCTTTTCTTCGCGTGCGATTTTCAGGAAATTGCGCTGCTCAATTACAGCGAATCCTTGCGCTCGGTATTCTGAATTTTCTCATCTCGTTTTCACCGTTGACTTGGCCAGGACAATTGCCACGAAAGGGGCACGGAATAGGGAAGCACAGCACAAGTCGCGATCTTACTACGTTTCAAATTAAAGCCCATTTAATGCGCAACAATAAGGAAAACAACGGCGGCAGCTCCTTTAAATAAACAATGGGAATCCTCTGTATGGAGGTCCTGCCGCTGCTGTAACCCATTTTGTATCTTATCGCAACCTTTGGTTTGTCACTCTGTGATTTATTTCCCCCTTCAGAGCCGCACTCTCTCTCTCTCTAATGAATCCTAATTCGAGTACTCAACAATTCAGTGCATCATAAATTTTAAATTAACCCCAATTTCGGGCACCCCATCCGATCCATCCTTGGCGAAAAAGGGGTTGCCGAGATGCAAATATTTACGTCTTTCGCCAGTGCGGAAAATGAAAAGCAAAGCTTTGCACTTGCTCTTTCAATTAGCCTTGTGGCACCATGACTGCTGGCAGAGCAGGTGAGGCCTGAAAGGCCTGAAAGAAGGCCCAAAAGCCAGGCCCGGGCAATTAAAGTTAAAGTCTTGGGGGGGAGGCAATTCAAAGGAGGACTGGCTTAAGTGGTTGTAACTCGTTTCGAGTGAATCATAAAAGGATTCAGAAACATAATTATATCTTATACATCGTAGGAATGCCGAAAACTAATTAAAAGGAGTTGGTTGTGAAGAAAGTTTGAAAATGAATAGAATAGAAAACACAGAATACCGAATTTCGGGTTTTTATTACAAAGTAATCTATTTGTTGTCCTTGAAGAATAAGATGTGGAATAAAATATGTCTTTCTATAATAGCAAACTTAGGTTATAAAATACACTTAAAAATATCCCACTGCGGGAAACTAACAATGAATTCCCAGCTGAGATCCTTAAGTAGCCACCCGGGGAGAACAGGACATATGCAAAAACCATGTCACACACCCAAGTTACTCCCAATGAAGAGAAGATGCCATCTCTATGTGGCCACAGATCGAGGCTAATCAAACTGGGCCACACCAGAGCCTCGGGAGGTGGGGCTGTGGCGGATACTCATCTAAGGGAATTTAATGGTTTTTCGAAAAGTGCCTCATAAATGTCAACAAATGGATGCAAATCTAGTTGACTTGGGCTGGGTACTAAGCCAGCTTGGCTTTGAATGGACTCGAGCGTTGTGGCCAAGGAGTCTACCAAGTAGTCTAGATACTACTAGGACTCACAATGCAACAGACTGTCTGGTAGGTCGTAAAACTTCCTTCGGAATAATACACTCAGCCAGCAGGACGTCTGTTTTACAGGGACCGGGCACTGAGCACGTACTCAGTACTCGGGACAGAACACAACTGCTTTTTGTTTCATTTTTGCATTATGACAATCTCTTGAGGGGACCCTGGGCAACGCAAGGTGTGTCCCAAAATAAGTGGGAAAGGGAAAAGGTGGCTCGTAAATTGCAAATGAAATGAGCCAAAACGAATTCCAATGCGGTGAAAGAAGAAATGCTGCTGCCAGAGAGCTGAAGAGGCTCGCTATCATGAACGGTATTCTGCACTAATTAACAACAAATGATGACATTAGGACAAAATCAGAGAAAAACGAATCATCGAAATCAGAAAAAAGTGTATAGTAAAAAGAGAGAAGGACTGTGTATCGAAAAAAACATCTGCTAGGCGAAAGAACAAAAACGCAAAGCCACTCGCAAATCTGAGGCTAGAAAGTGTTGGACCGCCCGTCGATGTCCTGCTGTGCTAGGACTCGTGCTTCGGTTTGAACCCGGCGATTGAGATGTCCTGCTGGCGCTGCTCGGCAGAGTCTTCAGCATTTTGTGTTTCCCAATCCGATTATAGACTTTGCCCCGCGTCCCCTGAACTCGCAAAGTATCAACATTAATTTATGGTTGAAACGATTAGAACGCTAAGTATAAATCCCCCAAAATAGGAATTATTATTGATGAAGGCCGAGAATACTTTATACATATACTCACTGCCAACAAACAGGGAATCTTATCGGGCTTACCTGTAAAGAGAGTAGAAGGAAATGCAATTAATAACAATTATATAATTTGGGGAGCTTAAAACTTAAACTTAGAATAGTAAACTTTAATAAAGTAGAAATAAAAAATGTTACAAATCTAGAGATATAAGAGAAACTACCAAACTACCCTTGTAGCAATTATTATTACTTTTGATTTATATCCCTGGCACCGGGAGTAGGAGTGTATATTTTGAAAAAAAAAAATCGATATAACATATAGAACAATTAGTGCTCCATATCATAAATAAAAAATTGCACATTTAACCAAAACAGTTATGTTTTGATCTCTCATCGAAAGAATTAAATTAAAAAGAAAATCAATTCAATGGTATAGACAGGATTATCTAGGAATTCACATTTATGTATATAAAAAGTAAAGTATTTACCCCAACTGGCAACCACTTCATTAACTTCCTTAAAACTAAAGCTCGTACAAGGAAATGACACCATAAAATTCCAACTAATTGTTATCAAGTTTATATTGTTTAAGCCATTTATTCACACTTGAACACTTGAAACACCTGCCAAACGGCTTCCCACACTTTAGCAAATTGGCTCCACCGGCAGAATGCCCTCGACCAGGCCAAGAATGATAGCCGTAATCTCGTACCAGGCCACATTCTCCAGCACCATATTCATTGGTGGCACAATGAGTTCCTCCATAAAGTTGGAAACCTCTGTGGGGTTATCGTTGATCATGATCTCCAAGTAGTCCTTGATGAGATCGTTAATGAACTTTGTGTACAGGCGGCTGTTCATAATGCCCGTGGTCTGGGACTTGGCCTCTTCCAACTCCCATTTGACCTTCCAGCTCTTTACATACACTCCACTGGTCGCCGATATTGGACGGATAATGAAGCTACCGTAGGCTCGGAAGTTGATCAATTCAAGAGCAAGGGCACCATCACCCCACAGGGAGAAATCGGAACCGAAAAGACGAGCCAAGATATCCAGTTTGTAGTTTGAGCTCTTCACGGATACTTTGGGAAAGTTAATGTTAAACTTGATGGTGTGAAGAACATTATTCCATTCCAGCTTGGAGAACTCGTAGCCATCCAGACCCTCGAGAATTAGTTCAGTGAAGTTTCCTTGGCAACTGGGGATTGATACGTGATTATATTTGATTGACTTTTATGCTCAACTCTGAGTAATTACCCAAAGTTTTCTGTTCTGACAGCGATGTCCTTGTAGGCAATCTGAGCTGGTGCCAAAATGGGAACTCCCCTGGCAGGATAACCACATCGCATCTGCAGACGAAGGAACTCTGTCAGTTCGCGAAGCTGATCGTCGAACAACTTGGCGGAGCCCAAGGTGCTGCAGCAGAGAAGGGTCAAGAAAATCACACAAGTTCTCATTGCGAATGTCAAACAGTAACTGCTAACGAATTGACCAACTACTTGGGTGCGATTAGCCACTTAAGTAGCCAAAATCGATAAGATTGGATTAGGCCAGGTGGCAGAGTAGAGAAGATAAGAGTCCAAGTTCCCAATTTCATTTCCATATTATTTTAAAAACTGTGAGTATTAGGAACCCAAGTTTATGAACAAACAAAACCAATCAATTAAAATCCGTGAAACAAGTTGATTCACTAACCTATAACTCCAGTTTCTATGTATCTTAAGGGTTCGAAAAACCATTGAAATACAACATTGAACATCTTATTAGGAGCTTCACAAAAATGAAACCCCCAAAAGTAGACCAGGGAGGATTCAATGTATCGACAAGTGTTTATTATTATGACAACTGCTGAATCTAAGCCCAGGGATCGGCTGCGGGATCGCAGTCGACCACAATGGGATCATCCTCTTTCTCGCCATCGCTGCTGGACAGGATCAGGTCAACGAGAGTCCAGAAGTCATTGCCCTTCAGCATCTTGTTCACGCGCGGCACAATGGTGTCCTCAATGGTGTCGGAAATGGCCTGCTGGTTGTCATTGATGGCCTTCACCACGATGTTCTCCAGCTGGCGGTTGATGGCGCGGTTAACCTTGCCATTGCCCATGAATCCACTGATGTCCGACTCCACGGACCCCAGCGAGATGGTGGTCTTGAGCGAGGTGATCTTGGCGGAGCCCCACAGCATGGGGAGCTTGTACTTCAGGGTGCCGGCGATGCGAAGGTTCACCAGGTCGAACAGCAAATCGCCGGATCCCTCGTACTCCACAGACAGACCCAACTGGCGCAGGGCATCGATCAAAGTATCAGTGCTGTACTTCTGGGCGGTGGTGTCAATGTTGTTGAACAAGAAGTCGAAGGTCACCTTGCTGGTAATCACGTTCAGCTTGAACTTCTGGATCTTGAAGTCATCCAGACCGGCGACCTTAAGGTGGAAAACGTGGTTCAGAGTCTCGAAGATGCCCTTCTTGAAGTCCAGGTCGAATTCGTTGATGCGAAGAGGAGCCAGCACGGGAATGCCGTACTGGGGCCATCCGCACTCCATCTGCTTCTGGAGCTTGCGGATGAAGCGACGTGCCTGCCAGGACACAATGAACTGCGGCGCAACTGGAGGTTGGACAACATTCTTGTTTAGGTTACAAATTTACATTTATATCAAGGTGTTAAGACAACTATTCCGACAGAAGAATTATTGATGTCCTTGAAAAACACATTTCAAAACTCGAAACAAATAATAAATACACTTGTAAAATCTTTCTCTGTTTCGACTTTTTTTGGTTTTTGTAGCGACCTTCGCCTTGCCTCACCTTCGACGGCTCCCTCTTCGGGCTCCACAAACAGATCAATGTCGCCATTCTGATCCGCCAGCTCCATCAGACGCTGCTCGACGCGGTTGGGCAGAGTGCCGGCGGCACAGGCGGCCACCAGGCAGGCCAAGACTAGCAGGAAACGCATTGTTGATTGTTGCTTTCAGTAACTCAACTTGCTACTGAACTGGCTAACCCCCGGGCAGAGACTTATATACCAAAATCAATCCCGGCCGATAACGCCCAACGGAGATACTGTGCGAAGATAGCACGCGAAATGGGGGCTAATTAAAACGTAGATGGCGGACTCGGTTGAATTGCTCTTTTCTTTATTGGTGGTTGATTTGCTGCTGCCTAACCTAGTCTAACTTCCTGGGCTCCACGGCCAACCAGGGGGCTGGGGTGGGATTGCAGGTGCCGGTGGTGGCGGAGAGCAGGCTGAACAGGTACCAGATCTTGTGACCCGACAGGAATGAGTTAACAACCGGCCCAAAGACCTCCGAAATCGTAGAGCTAATGGCTGCCTGGTTGCCATTGATGAAGGCTGGCACCTCCTTATCGATCATGTCGTTGATGAACTCGTTGATCCTGCCGTTGCCCATGACTCCACCAATGTTGGAGGACACGCCACCCAGGGTAATGGCGACCTGGAACTTGTAGATCTTGATGGAGCCGAAGATGAAGGGCATCTTGTACTTGAACTCGCCCTGAATGGACAGGTCTTCTAGGCTGAAGGACAGAGGTCCAGAGCTCTCGTAACGCACACTAAGTCCCAGCTTCTTCAGCAGATCGATAAAGGTGTTCGTGTCCAAGAAGTGGGCGCTGGCCTTGATCTGCTTCATCTTGAAGTGAAACTTGACCTTCTTGCTGAAGGTGTAGCTAACCTTCAGCTTCTTGATCTCGATGCCATCAAGGCCATCGAGGCGGAAGCGCAGGAACTGCAACAGGGTACTAAGGGGACGTATTAGATAGAGATACGAGATACACCCCCAGAGATAGACGGAGATACTCACTCGACAACCGATTCGGCCAAGTGGATGCGCAGATCAGCATTGGTGTATGGGGCCAATGGCGGAATTCCGTACTCGGGCCAGCCGCAGGGCATTTGGTTAATCAGGCCCTTAATGGCCTTCTTGGCCGATGAGTTCAAGATCAGGCCCTGAGTATCGGGCTTGGCCGCTGTTCGGGATGAATTATAGCTGCTTTATTGGCCCTCAATCGACCGGGGGATATACTTACGATTGCGGTCGACCAGCTGGTCCCACTGCTCCTCGCTCAGAAGCTCTACATCGTAGGCTGCTACGCAGGCCAAAAGGGCCACCAAAACACAGACGATAGCTTTCATTGTATAGCCACCTGGTTATTGTGTCCCGCTAACCATCGCCTTTTATAGCAAAACTTGGCCAGTCGAGGGGGCGGGGCCTGGGATAATTTGGCCAGGTTGTTATACATGCTAATCACTCAAACTGATTAGGACAGCTCGAATGGCACGATTTAGTGCTCCCGATTTAGCGCTCAGGAATTCTATCGCTCGGCATACGGTTTTGTAGGACCACAAAGCCAAAGCAAAAAATGCCACTTCTATCGCTTAAGTGGCTTGTTTTGGCGTAATCTCGACGCCCAATTGGCCAATCGAATGTCAAAATCGTTTTGAGAACATTTATGGTCTATCATTGCGAAACATATAGGCAAATGGCCTGGCTACCGGGGAAGAACTACGTCAACGTCAATGCAGGTGTCCATGGATTAATGGTATTATTGACTGATTCCTATCACTCGATTGGGGGTAGCTTCTGTTTTCTATTTTTTGTTTCTTGGCCAAACTGCATGGACACATACTCTTCACAGTACTTTTAAGGGCCTCAACAAGTAATTTACTGCCGACTTTGATTAAGATTTTAATCGTTGAAAACCTAGATATTTGCAGAAAAACTCAGCACCTGGGTATATAAGTCGTTGGGCTGACACCGGTGGAAACTTTTTGGTTCGTAATTAATTTATAGAGTATCTGACTGGCCACCTGGCATTCACCGTCTGGTTTATATATTTATAGATTTCGCGGCAAAAGTCCTTTAAATAAGCTATTTCAAGCAATCGGCCATAAATCATTCAACGGCACTCAGGAGTGGTTCGATTGTAAATCAAATAACAAACTTTTCGCAGACTTTAGATCCAGAGAAGTGCATGGATTATATTATAATCCGAAACAAACAAGGCCTTTCTTCGCCTTATATTTATATGTGCTGACGTATATTGCCTTAGCTGAGTTGTTTGTGATGATATCACAGGATTTATTAAGGACTTTAGCATGGCTTAATTCTAAGTACTTTTTATTACTTCTTCTGGGCAAAGTTTTTCCCACCTTAAACTTCAGATTATTCAAAGGAATAAGTGTCATATGAGACACACCTTAAAGAGACTTTGATCGCACTTTCCTAAGCAAAAGGGGAATGTTTTTGTTTAAGCAACCTATATACTATACTAATATAAGTATCCGTATCGAAATGGCAGATCTGATCATTTCCTCGGGATAAGTACTCTGATTTATATAACAAATTGAAATTAAAATTGGCCAACCGGGAAACCGTGGCCAGATAAGACAGCAATAAGGCATCGATCCAATGACCACCCCATTTCGTCCCGTCCCGTGGCTAATCAATCGTTCTCGGACGGAGAACGAAGAACGGATCGGAGCCCCTTATCTCTCGCCCCACCCGGACGGACGGTTCGTCTATAAAAAGCAGCTCGTCCGGCCGGAGGGTTGAGTAGTATAAATACCGTCTGTACTGCGATCAGTTGGTAGGACTCTCAGTCAAAGTAAAAATGAAAATCTTTGTGGCTCTTTTGGCTTTTGTGGCCGTCGCCAGCGCGGCTTCGGTGGGCGAGCCCATTGGTGAGTATCAGAGTTGGTCGACCACCGACCTTCCGCAATGAGATTTAAGCTAACGCACGTGTATCCACGCTCTAGGCACCCACTCGATCTCCAGCACGATTGAGGATATGATCGAGGGCCTTAAGGAGCAGATGCCTTGTGGCTTCGCCGGATTGGGCATTCCGCCCATGGCCCCCTGAGGGTCGACCATAAGGAGATCGATATCGATACCAGCGTTTTGAAGGCACAGGGAACCATCGATCACTTCCGCCTAAATGGCCTCAACGATTTCGAAATCGCTGAGATGAAGGTCAACGCCATCACCAGCAAGGTCACCTTCAGGTTCATCTTCAACAACGTGAACGTGGACACCCAGTACAACATGAATGTGTTGCTCAAGAAGTTCGGCTTCACCGTTAACCTTATCGGAGCTGGCCATGCCAAGTTCGCCATCAAGGATATGGCCATCTGGGGCACCCTCAAGTACTCTCTGGGCGTGATTAGCGGAAACTTGAAGCTCAAGACCCTGGAGGTGCGCACCCACCTGGGTGAGGTTGACTCCGAGATCGAGGGCATCCTCGGCGATGGCACCATCAACGAGAAGATGAACGAGTACCTGGCCGAGGCCGTCGAGCTGGCCATCAACGAGAACGAGGACTTGATTGCCGACACCATCGAGAGCATTGCCGTGCCCGCTGTCAACAGCGTCCTGGATGACATCTCCCTGGCCGAAATCGTTGCCGGAGCCGGTGGCGGCGAGGGTGGCGAGAAGGAGGTCTGCATTCCTCCCGAGTTCGAGTGGTAATTAAGTCATCGCTGATTAAACAACAAAAACGTTTTTGAATCAACTTGTTCTGGTTCTTTCTCTCTCTCTTTGGGATTTGGATTGTCTGTGGTTATCTCTCGGTTTTACAAGCTTTCACAGAATTTACAACTTATTGACCGAATCATTTTATAGAGGGCTTATCTCAAGCATTGTCTTATCGTTCATAAAACATTTGCCAAATTATTTGCCGATTAAGAATACTAACAAACTTCAGTAGCTACACAGGAAGAAAATACTTTCGTATACTTATTTTCGCACTAACTACAAGCCAATAGGTACAAAGCAAATTGTACAATTATATGATGCTGAAATTAGGGTAGATTTTAAAGATGAGAATCCAAATTAAGGTTTTTATATCGAATTATTTATTTTATCCTCCAACTGAAAATGAAACCAAGTTGTTCGATATATTTTTACCAATTTAATGTTTTATTAGAGCTTTTTAGTTTAGAATATTTTGTTATTGTCATTATTATACGTTATACCATTTCAGGTACGATTCTTGAGGTACATTTTCTTTGCGTAGAGATAGTTTATCTGAACATGCCAATTGCTATAAAAGAGCAATGGATCGGTCAAGTAATGATTAGTGGCTTTTGCTACCTGAAAGGTTTAACTCGTGTGCGTTGTGCCGGTATAAAAATGAAGTTCGTCCTTTTGATTGCACTTATCTTGGCCCTGGGCAGCTGTTATGGCGCCGAATTCGCAGAACCTATGTCCGGTAAGACGCTTTACATTTGTATGAAAAACCACGATGACTTCATTATACCCTGCCGCTTTTAGCTCAGGACCGGTCTCTGTCCAGTGTGGCCTTGGAAGCCGTGGAGTCCCTAAAGATAGTTCTGCGCAATGGAGCCCCGAATCACGGAATTCCCGTATTGGCTCCTGCGAAGCTCGCACATAAATCCTTCAAGTTCAGCACAGGAGAGCTCAGTTTAGATGGTGAGATCGAGGACTTTGTACTGGAGGGTCTGGATGAGTACGAAGTACTCATCATGAACGTGGACGTGTTTAGAAACCGCGTTAAGACGACGATTAAATGGGATAATGTCAACATCACCACCCTGTACAAGGCAGATGTGGGCAGTGGCTATCGCATGCAGCGCGAAGGTGGCGCCTTCTTTGCCCTTAAGGACCTGGTCATTGAGGGCACGATCAACTACTCGCTCGGTTTGCTGTCCAAGAAACTGGCCGTAAAGGACATCCTGTTCTACCCCACGGTGGGCAGTGTCGACTCGCAGATCGAGAACCTGTCCAAGTACCGCATCCTGAACCGCAAGATGAACGAGATCATCGAGGAGTTCGTCTCCCTGACAATCAACGACAACACAGACTTTGTCGCTGAATGGGTCAACGAGTTCGTCACTCCCATATGCAACGATATGATCGGAGACCGCTCCCTGAGTGATATCATTGCCATTATCACGGGAGGAGGAAACTAAATACCAAATATCCACAATAAAGCCCAAAAGTATTCGACTTGAGCATTGCATTCACTTTTTGCGGTGGGGTAAACGTGTGAACCATAAACCCATGTGCGATCGTTTTATTGGCCTGCCTACCACCAGCAGCTGGCCAAAAAACACGCAAATACAAACACCCAAGCTATTTGGTTAATCTAATCGAAGAGATTAAGCTTATAATAGCATTTCCTTCGCCAAAATTGATTAGGCCAACTGAGGGCTTAAGTGTTATAGCTACAATATGAACTAATACTTATACAGACGTAGAGTTCAGGTTTTCGTTTTGGTCATCCAGTAAAAGCTAAATATTTCCAATGACTCTAGAAGCTGTTTGGATGCGATCGAACTTAAAAACAAACAAAAATACGCAAAACAAAACGCAATTAATTAAATTTTACTTTTTACAAAAAATTCACATTTGTTTTGAACATTTTTGGTATTTTTTACTACGTCCTTTGTCATAAGCATTTGTGTAAAATACTGTGGAAATTTGTGTAAAATACATGTTACATACATTTCCGAAAACACGTTGCATACTTTTTGGCTTTTAAGGGAATTATTAATTTTAAAAGTTGCCCTCTGCACTTCTTTTGTTCGTGGTACTTTTTTTAGATAAAAGTAATTGAACATTAACAGATTTTTATAACACAATTTTAAGAGGCCGACTCTCCCATAGTAAATTTAAAAGACTGGTCAGATCGACCCAACAGAAGTCCCTATTACTAATTTTCCGCAATATAGCTGGAATTTAAACAACATGGTTTTAAGTTATATGAACTTGATCAGTAGCAGCATACGAATCGATTTGGATATGACTGCTACCGTCGGATCTTTCTACAACTTTATGATGATAAGTAAAGGTTTAAAATAGGTCGTTGTCTTTACACCCTTTCAGTTTGCTTTTAGTTCACTTGAAATCAACCTATTTCAGTAAAATGAAAAAAAAGATTTATATGTTAAAACATTGGGTGATTTCCCTTGGTTAGATATAAATTGACCGAACTCCTCTACGGCACCCATGTACATATATGATATGATTGTACAATTTAAAATTGTAAAAATGTATATTTATTTATGGTTCATACTTTCCCAATCATTTCTCCACATTTTTTTTTTAATTTTTATACTCTAGGGGGAAATAAATTCTAGAGAAATTTATAATACCCTGGAAGAGTATAATTTTGACTAAATTTGTTCATTTTTGGATTTGGTTTCTTAAACTGATAAATTTTGGAAAATGTTGTCTACAGTGTGTTCTGAATTTGAACCAACGCTTGGCCGTTTGAAATTATACAAATTTAGTCTTAATTTTTGTCCCCTTATTATAGTTATATTTAAACATGATATCATGATTTTTTCAGTTCACTGCATTCACTGCTATATTTTTATGTTTTAATTTCCTAAAAAAAAAATAGTGAAATCATAGTAAATAATCAATAAAATCAAGTTCGAGTAGCAGTGGGCGCGTATTTATATTTCTATACTGGTAACGAACTATTTTTATACCCTTGCAGGGTATTATAATTTCAGTCAGAAGTTTGCAACGCAGTGAAGGAGGCACCTCCGACTATATAAAGTATATATATTCTTGATCAGGATCAACAGCCGAGTCGATCTAGCCATGTCCGTCTGTCCGTCTGTCCGTCTGTCCTTCTGTCCTTCTGTCCGTCTGTCCGTCTGTCCGTTTCTACGCAAACTAGTCTCTCAGTTTTGAAGCTATCTGAATGAAACTTTGTAGTTAGCCTTCTATATACTCTCACTCGTATATATGTCGGAACGGGCCGGATCGGACGACTATATAGCTGCCATAGGAATGATCGTAAAATTTTTACAAAAAAATTTTTAACTTTTTCAGTTTTCAATAGAATTGGATCAAATTTAAGATATAGCCATTTTACTATACTCTACAATTTTGTGTAAAATTTTATGAAAATCGGACTAATATATCATATAGCTCCCATTGGAACGATCGAGAATTTAATACAATTAAATTTATGACTTTTTCAGTTTTCAACTGATTTTCATCAAATTTAAGGTATAGCTATTTTATTTTAGTCTTAAATTTTGTGTAAAATTTTATGAAAATCGGACGACTATATCATATAGGTGCCATACAAACGATCGTTTGATGTAGAGGAAAAATGCAAATCTTTGAATGTAAAACTGCAAATATAATATGTATAGGTGAATACAACGAAAGCAGGTATTACTTCATTGTTTTTTAACACAAATATATATAATTTATATTGTATGGATTCCTATTCATAGAAGTTCTATCTGCAAGGGTATATAAACTTCGGCGTGCCGAAGTTAGCTTTCTTTCTTGTTTATGGTAAAAATATTAAGATCCAAAGTATTAAATTAATAGATTTAAAGAAGAAGAAAACTGTTTTTGCTCCAAAATGAAAAGATAAACAATATAGGAAATAAATAACATTTTTCTTTCGTTACAACTAAAAGAATGCGTTGCATTTGTGTTTTTATTGATTTCACAAATAATATCTGTTATAGAAAGAACAAGACGTTGATCTTTATATAAACGGATAAACAAACTTTTATCTGATAACCCCGTTTTAATCACAGGTTCAGTTCACTGATAACATCAGCTCTCCCAAGATATCTATAGTTGCTTAAAATAAAAATTATAAATAAACTACGTGTAAATTCTTAGCATGGCCAAGGTTGTTTCAATGTTTGTTAAAAAAATAAATAAAAAAACTGATAGTGGAATCGTGCGAGCGGCTCAACTACCACCCAGGCAGCTAGACAGACCTTGACATAGCATAGATCAATAGCCAAATGCTCGCCGATTCGGGGAACGTGCGATGAGATGTGTTCTTAAAACGCAATTATAGTGACCGGGAATTCGAAAAAGCTCTAGAATTAGTAATATTCACGAGATCTGAGAGCATTAGAAAAATCCCCAGCCAAGCCGCTTATCACCTCTCCTATGGGAGAATCATTAAGTTCCACTATAGATGAATATAAATTCGGAAATCAGTTTAATTTCATTGTTCACTTAGGACGGAGGCAGAAATCAATTATTCCAGAAATGATATTTAAGTGCTTCTCTTTGCTCATAATAACCCAGGCAAGGGAAGCCTACAAGTTTTACGAGAATCATCCGATTTAATTGAGTATTTAATTTCAAGATATTGGTGGCAACCGCTAAGCCAATTAATCCTGGATTCGATGACCCGCAGCAGAAGGCATTGGAGAAGGAGGCCAAGGAGGAGACAGTCAATCTTCTGAACTCTCTGTTCCGCTCTCAGATCGCATATTTCACGGAGGTGAACTCCAACCTGAATCCGCGAACGAAGAGGGCCGCCGATATCCGTCTTTACATAACGCGATTGAACCAAGCCATTGCTGAAAATGAGCTGGACAAAAAGGATAAAATGTGGCTGGACATTTTCGAAGAAGTAAGCTGGTCAGCAACTTTAAAAATTCCAGCAATAATTTCTGTACTTTGTTTTACAAATTAGTTCAAGGGCTCTCCTTTACTATTGAACCGGGAGGAGGAGACAGGTCTCACGGACATGCAATACAAAATTCTATTGACGGGCAAAAAATTGCAGGCTATATCTGCAGGATTCGTTTCGGATGTGGCTGATTACTTTTGGAAAATGGCCAAGATCAGTGGCAAAGTTGTTGAGAATCACTTTGAGGGTAAAAATCGACTCACAAATCCTTAAAACTAGAACTCAGTCATATCCGTATATTCGGAAAATGTGAAAATAAAAACTTTTTTGCAAGTAAATATCCCATACTTTTTTATTTCACTTTAAATGAATGGGATAACTTATTATTATTAAGGAGTCAAATAAGAAAGTCCATGGCTCTCAATAATATTTGCAAATAAATCCAATTTCAATACCTAAACTTAATGTTAAATGTCGTGAGAGGTTATCAATTTTTATGACACTAAAAGATATAATTATCAAAAGCAAGTACATATGTATATATTTTGAAGATATCATCCAGTGTTATGCAAATTTATACAATCGATTATCCATGAATGGCGCTAAGCTGCTATTTCGAATCACTTGGGGATGTAAATTATGAATATATATAAAGATATTTATATATATATATATACATATATAATATACGTAATAACATTTGACAAGCCTTCCTCGCACTAAAACCTGTTTATATGTGTGTAATTTTAAAAATTTAGTAATGAATGCATTGAAGCTTTCTTAACGTTACTCAATGTTTCGAGTCACTTTTGCACCTGTACGTAGGTTGCCTGCTAATTAAATGATAAATTCTCTAAAGCCACAACGATTTCGTGATTCATTCCAAGCGACAACCAAATTTGGAAATATTATGACTTAATGACCACTGCGCAGGAGTTCATTTCCAAATAAGCTTTCTTTTGTTTAACACTTTATCGGTCGATCGAGAACGAAAATAAATCGGCGAAATCACAGCAATAACACTTTGTTGTGCAATGGCAATTGAAATAGCAAAGGCAAGCAAAGTGCAAGATATATTTAATGCAATTTACGTTAAAAATAAACGCTTAGTGCACAGGAAAGCGGAGGGAAAGAGCATTGCCATAGTTGAAGGAATGCAACGATGAGGTGGAGGAGCGGAGCAGGGTGTGGAGCAGATGACGAGCACGCATGCCATCAAACCCCGGCGACGGTCGCACATGTGCCGCCGCCGCTTTTGTGCCACTGAAATTTGGTAATCCACGCACACAAAGAAATATTGTGTTTATTAAAAGTACAATAAATAAAACTAGCAATAAATAGCAGCATTACCCAACAGTGGACACAAAATATAACGAAAAGAGCCACTGGGCAGACAGAAAAAAAACAACCGGGATGTTTAAGCAAACATTTTAGAGTTCATTTCATAACATTCTGTCACTTTTGATATTAAATTTCGAACGCTAGGAAACTGCTGTAATCCCAGATATTTGTTTTTGTAAAATTAAATTGGTCTCTATCCTAAAATTTTGCAATTTCTTTATCCAATTTTCATTACTTTTGTACAAGACGCAATTTTTAAACTTGTTTACTCTTTGAAGAAGCTGGTTTCAGTCCCGATGTTGCAACGATCTTCATGTGCATCGTGCCACACCCACTATTTGTTTTTAGTTTCTCAAATGAGCAGTGTCATACAATTTTTACCACGATATCGATGCTAAAATTCAGGTGCATTGTTTTCATAGAGTTTCACGATTGCAAGTGCTTGTAAACATAACGAAAGGAGTACCGGAAGCCACCATCGATTTTATAAAAAAGAAACGTACTTTGTTAATTGAAGTGAAGATATAGCAAATATTTTGTTAACATAAGCGTAAATTCACACAGACATTATAATATTGGAACTGTATTTCTTAACATATTGCAAACAAGATTTAGGGCCTTTCGTTTTAACCTAAAAAACTTTAGAAACATCGTATAATAAAATTAAATGAATGAAAATAAATCCCAGCCCAAAAAAATCTTCTTTCTGTGTATGGAAACTGCATTTGTGTTTTAATGCCAGTATTTGTGGCCCCAATGGCATCTCCATGTTATGCTCTCGAGCGTATCGACGCACAACAACAATTTCCACTTCCGAATGACACACACACAAAAGTGATATCAAACAGAAGCACGGAATGTAAAATAATACAAAAAAAATATATATGTACAAATATAGCGAAAACTGATATGACAGCGGCAAACAATTCACTGCAAAAGTCTGTCCGTCAATATTGTTGTACAATTAAAAGTAAATAAACAAGCTTGCCGAAAGCTAGGCAGCAATAAAGACGGCAAGCCAAATCGCCGACAGATAAGAGGCCAAAAGTTGATTTAAATCGAGAATAGAGAGACAGCTACCGAAGCTATGAAGCTTTCCAATAACAAATTGTTGTCGACCTGGCAGGCTCTTGATAACTAAATCACTTAATGGCACACCATAAAAGCCATTCAAATGAGATAAGACACCTAAGGAAATAAAAGCAATTCAAATATTTGTGGAAGCAATTATTATATTTTATCTGGGGTTTATTGAAATGATAATCAAAGAAAGATAAGAAAGTCGAATTGCTTATACAAATTAAACAACAAATATCTTAAGAAAGAGAAGAAAAAAAGCGACAACTGTAAATAAATTAAAAACTCATTAAATCTCAATTAGATGAAAAATATAATAACTTTTGAAAAGAAACTTTGAAGCAATTTTGGGATAATGAGAACTGGGTCGCAGAGGCATCCAAATACGAAGTGGAAAAGACACCAAGTGCTTAGTCTGCAAACAGATTCCCATAGACTAGCATAAATAATCATTCGTAATCATCAATTATTTAAACGAAAGTCGCCAAGCGAAGGTATGTAAGAAGAGCAAACTTGGAAGGGAACATACGTACTCTATTTTGGGGAAGGGTACCAACCAGCCAACCAACAAAGTGCCGTTGGGGTTAATTGCAATCGCTTTAATGGGGAGTCGTCGTTCGCTATCCATTTGAGATAAGAGAGGAAATTTGTTTTTCACCGACGCCAGCGGCCTTTCTGCTAACCGCCGTTGTTGTTGGTATTTGTATCTAGGGCCGACGATTACCTTTGTATTTACAAACAAACAGACAGCCAGTATGCTCTTTGTGTTTATGTAAACATTACATTCGTGAGAGGGGGGCGGGGCATTCCAGGTGCAATTGGAATACAATTATCGATTGGTCACCATAATGCGATTGATATGCTGATATCGTTTAATCGATTAACGATTTATGCTTTGTCAAGGGGGCGAGGTGGCAAAGAATGTGGGATTCTGCCTTTTATATTTATAAAAAGCAATTTATGGCACAATATGCTAATTTTAAATGGCACATGGGGGGAGCTTAGACAATAGTCAAGCTTACAAAAGACTTAGAAGATTGTATATTTTCAGAAGCATTATATACAAATATATTTTTCCTAAAAAAAAGACTCAATTTGCTGTTTTTTATAAACTTGATGCAAATATTGCACACAGAACTCTTTCTGTATTGATATGAAAGTTCATTACCCTTTTGAGCTCATTTAAAGTGTTTAAAATTCGAACCGATTTACTTACTGCAGTGAACAGAGCACCAAGGGAAAGCTTTTTGTATATTTTTCATAAAAAGATCGTAAGACATGCTTAACTTTACACAATACCTTTCTTCTTTTTGTTTACCTTTGAGCGTCTTCAATATTTTTGACCTTCCCGATTTGTTACTTCACCGTTAGCCACACTTTTACAAAAAATAAGCATTTCGAACGGGAAAAGCCAATAGGAATCCAATCCGAAAACATCATTCATCACGCTGACAGCAAATTAGAATCGGTATCGGTATTGGACCTGCAAATATACAGCATACAAGCATATATCTGGTTGGGGTTCGGGTCAATGCCAATAAGACAGTCGCGTGCAAAACGGTTTACGAGATCGTATTCCCGCGCATCATAACAGGTTTGCACGATAAAAGAGCGCAAACAGAGGTCCCAGTCTCTGTTATCGTGTTTATGCGGATCAATTTCATGAATTCAGTTGAAAACTAAAAATAAATATAAGTTCCTGCTCACACGAAGCGCAAAAAAATTCTTGCCACAGAATTCATTCTTGCAAACGTTTCTAAGGATTAACATTGATAAGCGGTCAATGGTTGTGAAAGCACTTCATGAATTGGACATCGCATGCACGTAGCTGCTGCCTCTGACGATTTTGTTTACATTTTTGGTGAGCCTTTTGTTGTTGCTCCCGCTGCTGCTCGACAAGAGATTTTCTAATAAACCATTTTAGAACCGGTTTTCGGGTTTCGGTTTGATTTTGTGAACGGTTTCAGTTTTTTTGTTTGCCACAGAAAACCCGAGGATGACGCGAAAGCAGAAGAGGAAGAGCCAGCGCAAGAGGAAGAGGGCATCAAATTTCATGCCCCGCATACACACTCACACACACACACACACTGTGGAAATTATTGGGCAGAAAAGCTTGTTTAAAATAAAAATAAAAAAAATCGAAGCCCTTTATTTCGAGGAACAACGGGCGCTCCGAACGACAACACTTTCAATGGCCCCGGTCCGCTTCAATGGGCATTTTGGCAACAATAATCCCCGCACAGGGGTTGCGCCGCTGTTGCTCCATAGATGTTCGGTCAAAGATTAGCATAGAGCACTCCAAACAAAGACGACCACAAGCCCAGACGCTCGCTGCCCATAACAAATAACACAATGAAGGTGTGGATACAATTGCCGGCGATAAACATGTTTAATCAAAGGATTTCGCCTGGACATCTTGTCCTCATGAAAGCCAATGAGTTGTCCGTGCCGCTCCTGCCAGTCCTCGCAAAGTCGAAATTCCTCTGACTGACTGACTTGAGCATAAATTGGGAGATTGTGAGATGACTCTTTTTACCATCAAAACAAATTGCAGCAAGCCATTCGAAAAACACTACTCGAATTGAGAAACCAGAAAAATAGTGACAGAACGTGTTTGAACTTCATGAAAAATAATTGAAATAATGAGGAAATACAAATATTTCATACAACTTCAAACAGTTTAAGCCAGTATTTTTAAAAATAAATACTATTGAAAGACTAAAAGAAATGTTTCTTACAGAATATAAATTTAATGTAAGACAATCTCTGTACATTGGGTAACTTACCTTCAATGCACACCACATGGTCACGAATGGACTGGGCTATCTGGGCATCGGCCTGCGGGAGCAGATCGATCAGATTGTATATGGCATAGATGGATGGGTGGACGCTCTCGAAGCGCTGGATCTCCTGGCGGATGGCCAGCGAGTTGCTAATCAGCGGCTGCGGCGGCTGGGCGACCAGAATGGATGAGGAAGCGGCTGCCGCCGAAGAGGAGGATGCTCCACCGGATTGCAACTGGAGGCTGGCGGCGTTGGGCGTGGGATTGTGGCGCTGCTGCGGAGGCGGAAGCTGGTTCTGGTTGTGGTTCTGGAGGTGATTCTGCAGCTGATTCTGGAGCTGCTGCGGATGGGGATGGGGCAGCGCGTGCGGATGCGGATGATAGTTACTCATGGCGGGGGCGGCGAAATCGAGAGTTAGCTAACGCTTTTAATTAACTTAAATTGCTGACACACACACGGCACACACGCACACACACTACAGCGAAGCGGTGGCACAATTTTTCCGACCGAACATTTTCCAATAACAACAATCGGGGCCAGCAGAGTAATGTCTGGTATTCTCGGAGTCGCAGTTTTCGCCCAATTGACTCAATTCTGTAGATCGATTTTGCACCTGTACAAACAATCACAACACATCGATACGATACAATTACGGTATAACGGTCACAGTACACTGCAGCGTGTCAGTATTTGGGTCGATTGTGTTTCAATATTCCGAGTGGAGCCGCCCGTTTGTGTTGTTTTTCGCACTTCGCGAGGGGAGCACTTTTGATTTAACAGAAAACTAACAGAAAACAGTGGGACAGCTTAAGACGAGCATTTTTTTTACTGCTGGAATCTGCGTCCAGTATGACCGTACTGTGGAAGTGGCAAAATGGTTCCAGGGTCTGTTTGGGGCTGTTCTGGCTGGCAGGCTGCCACATGTCCCCAATTGGAATTTTCAAATAGACCGACTACGTGCGAAACATAAACATGACTCTTATTCCAGCGAAGTGGCAGCTTTCCGGGGGTGTTTTAAAGTACAATTAAAAAGCAATTACAATTTAAAAGGTGAAACAAATAAACTGTTTTATTTCAAATAGTGATTTTTAAATATATATCTTATTTTAATATTTACATTAACAAATCCAGTTATCGATAACAATTCGTTTCTATCGATAAGCTACCTGCCGGTTGCATGTCGTAATACAATTTTGTTACATTTTCAATAAAATCAATTAAAATCAAATAAAAATGGCTCAAAGCAGACTGGAGAAGATCGGAACCATCTTCACTAGGTAAGTGGCTGCCTTGGAAATTTATTTACTGTTATAATACGTGGTTTCATTTGCAGAGTTCAGGGCCTGCTTCGTGGAGGAGCCATGAGAGCTGAGGATAAGCCCATTTGGTACGATGTGTACGCCGCCTTCCCGCCGAAGGCTGAACCCCGTTTCGACCGGCCCGCTCCCCAGATCCCGGTGCGCAACATATTCTACGCGGAGGATGTTGTAAGAGCGTATGTTCGATAAACAAACCCAGTAACCACGTTTTCTATCATTTTAATCCTACTCTTCGTCCAAATAGGAAGCTACACAAGCATAACAGACCCCAGGAGACCATAAACCTGTTGGACCACAGACGGACAACGCAGTCACAGCATTTCGTACAGATCTACCAGGACCTCAAGTCGCAAGGAGCACTTGATGAGGAAAGAATCTACGAAACGGCTTTGGACCTCCTCGCCGAGCAACGCCAGCAATCGCGCCTAGAGACGACCGCCGCAGAGGAAAACCTTCCCGAACTAGATGCTGAGGTCAAGACCCAGCTAATGAGCGACTTCAAGGAGGCTGCAAGCAACCAGCAAGGCACTTCGTCCTCGTCTTCGTCTCCCGCTCCCAGCAAAGCGAAAAAGGACACCAGCGTGGGCATTAATATAGACAGCTTGTTCAAGGATTAAGCAGCAGCACTCTTTTATAAACTAAAAATAAACATATGTTATCGTAACTCAGACAGCCAAGGCATCGTTCTGGGACTCGTGGCTGAGCTGCGTCTGCAGGTTGGACAGTTTGTTCTTCAGAACTTGCACGCCCATGACGACAATGTTTTCCGGCTTGAGGGCGCCAGAAGATTCCACATTAAAGAAGAACTTGTTCGGCTTGGCCTCCCAGTTGTAGGGCGCCTCGAACTGATCGTCTTCCAGCTCGGTGTGTTCGCTCTTAGGCCACTCGTCCGGCTTGGGGTACAGCGTGTGACGCATGGAGTTGTCCGGATCATACTCGAAGCACACGCCCGCCGTCGGGTTCCATTTGGCGTGCTCCTTGCCAAAGCCCTTCTTGGCGTAGGCGCGCAGTTTTAGCTCCTGACCCTTGCGCAGCTTGATGATCAGGATCTCATCGTTGCTCTCGCCGTACTCGTTGTCCTCTTCACCCTGGTTCCGCGACGTTACCGGCAGCACCTTGGCGTTGCTCGACTTTAGATCCGCGGTGGTCACGTGGCGAGTCTGCTCCTCAGTGCACTTGACGTCCAATGTGAACTCCACGCTGCACTCTGGGCAGAAGTCTAGGCAGATGCAGTCGCGCGTATATTGCAGGCGCTCTACCACGTCGTCGGAAATGAGCGGGATCAGACCGATGCGGTGTGCTAGGAACTCGTCCGAAAGCACCGTGGAGTTGGCCTCCAGTTGCACCCAATCAATGGCCAGCGTCGGCGTTTCGGCGATAAACACGCGCCGCAGGCTGTTAGCCACGCTCAGCTCAGTGTCCTCCAGCACGAACTTGACGTTGTCATCGGTTAGCTCGGTTATCTGCACGGACGGTTGGTTGGCGTACGGCATGGCGGCTCTCTATTTGCAGTTTAAAAGCAAAGCAAAACAAATAAAATATGAATTGGCGGATGAAAAATAAAAGCCGGAGCGTCAGTGTGACCGCAGGTCGGACGTTAAAAAAAGTTAAATATACATTTTATGAACGCGTTATATTGTTGGCTATTTTCATGCCGCAATCTTGGCAACACTATCCTCGGCAAAAATGTTGCGGCTGTTGAATAAAAAATTTTATTGCAAAATTGCAACAAAAGCGAATGAAAAAGCACCCAAATTGGACTTTAAGCAGCTAACGCATCCCACCAAGGTGCCGCAGACACCAGTTGACACCGCCTTTCCGGACACCAGCAGCGCCAGCCCCATCGAGATCGACACGAAAACCATTCAGTTACTGGAGCGCCTGTCTCTGGTGGATCTGGACAGTGAGCGGGCGCTGGCCACGCTCAAGAGCAGCATACAGTTCGCCGACAAGATAGCCCACATCAACACGGACAACGTGCGCCCACTCTACACGGTGCTGGAGCATCAGCAACTCCAGTTACGCAACGACCAGGTGACGGAGGGCGACTGTCGCCGCCAGGTGCTACGCAACGCAAAGGTGACCGACGAGGACTACTACGTCTCCCCGCCGGGCAACATACCGCTTGAACAATGAGCCGGGTCCAGCGGTGCTTTGAGTCTCTGGCTTCTGCTGGCTTCCTCCGTCACCACCTTTCCGGTAACCAACTGGAACTACTCTCTCACGGTCGCGCCTACGCCGAACAGCTGCAGAAGCAGTGGCTGAGCCTGCGTCCCTTGGCTGCCCACTTAAGTGGTATTTCCGAGATAGGTTCCACGTCACCACTTGAGCAGCGCTTCTCCTTTGCCCGCACCACGGAATTTAGTTCCCTTATTCAGCGTCTCCAAAAAGATCATCCTCGTAAGGCAAAATGCCCAACGGTCATCAAGCATAAAAGCAATTCCAGTTCCTTCTGCCTTCGCGGGAATCCGCTCTTCAGTGTTAAGTCGCCCGCCACCATTCTAACAACCGACTTTCTGGTGGAGCCGGACCGCGCTCTGGAGCACTTCTACAACATTCAACGCGAGAGCAAGATCTGGTGGATGCGTCTCTCCTCGAATCCCAGTCGCATCCGCATCGTTCCCTGCGATTTGCCAGAGGAATTCGATCCGAAGAGCTATCAAGCCATCGATCTCAGATCGCAGGCCGGCGAAGTGACCGTAGAGGAACTGAGCATGGTGAGACTTGGCGGCGATGATGGACCCTTCCGCTTACCGGATGGACGGACAGGGGAATCTGTGCAACCCACTGTTATAAGATCTGTCATTGAGCTGGAGACGGCCACTTGCGGTAAGAGGATCCAGTATATGTTGAGTTCTCATGCTATTTATTTTGATTATTCCTTAAAGCACTTCTTCTGGACGGATGCGATCACGAACGAGACGCTCAATCCCTACTGCTCAATTGCGCCCTGGCACCCTATCAATGTGGGATCGCTTGCTTGCTGGAGGAGTCGGGGCTCTCGGGTGACTTGGACGACCTCTGCCTTCATCTTAAGCACGTCCTCAATCACGCTGGTCTGCGACTGTGCCAAGGCAAGGGATTTTTCGCAGCCAAAGATAATGGGCATCTGGCGGATCACTTTGCAGAATCAGATATGCTCGGAGTGCCCTATACCTTGGTCGTAAACGATCAGACACTAAAAAACGGATTGATGAAACTGCGTAGCAGGGACACCAGACTGTCGGAGACCATACACATAAGCGATGTACCAGACTATTTGTTAAATATATTTAAAAAATGAGAAACAAACAGCTACATGAAATCGCACAGATATTGGCGCACATTAAAACCAACCACTTTACCAATCTGAAGTACAAACTCCAGACCCACGGTGCACTGCAAGCGAGCGGAGCCATCCATGATATTCTGCTCACCGCACACAAAGCTGAGCAGCTTGAGGTGGACCAGCGTTGAGATCTGGGAGAGAAGATTGCAGGTCAGGCCGACTTTCTCCTCCAAAATGGCGTAGAAAATGGCAAGCAGGCGGTCAATGCTAAAGGATTTGGGTCCCAAGGTGGTGGACATTTTCTCTGTTGTCTGTAAAATAATCGTTAAGAGTTTTGATGCAATTGTTTGCTTGGTTTTCACATTAAGGTACCTTGGCTCTGGCGTTGACCGTCTGCATCCGCTTACGTTGCTTGCCGTGGTGCTTGACAAAGAGCCGCTTGTCCTGGTTGGCGGCGTTGTGACTGGCCAGAAAGGCAGCGATCAGCAGGAATTTAGCGTAGTAGGGCAGCTCCAGCGACTGCGCCAGCTTTCGCACACTCTGATCCTCTATGGGAGCAGAGCTCTCGGCACACTCCTCCAGTGGTTTCTCTATACGCATATAGATTTGGGTGAGGGCCGCTCTCAAGGGACCTGCTATGTGTCGCCACAATCGAGAGATGTCACTGGCCTCCACTGCACCGTCCAGAACGGGTTCAAGGTAAACGGCAAAGCACTTTCTGGCCGTAAGCTGCAGCTCCGGGAGATCTCGACAGGCCTTATAAAAGACGCTGAGAAAGAGATTCAAGTAATTGTTGTAGAAATCCTCGGTCATGGCTGCCTCGCAAATCTCCAGGCGCCGCTGGTCCTTGGACAACTGCTCCAGTAAGTGTTCGCGGACCTTCACAAAGTCCGAGCCTAGAATGCGCTGCGTCTCCGCCTTGTTGTATTGGGGCAAGTGCAGGCTGATGACTTCGCTCAGACCCGTCTTGTTATAGAACTTCTCAAATGGTAGCTGGGATAGGAGGATCACGCATAGATTGAGGCCGGTGAGCTGCTGTAACCGCAGGAGTACGGGCAGCACATTGGCATCCATATCGCGCAGCCGTTCTGCATTATCCACGGCGATGAGGAAGCCCGGAGCATCTTGTTGTCGCAGCTGCTCCACAAACTCCACCATGTTGTCAGCCTTTATCGAGCCTTCTTTATGTGGCGACGTAAGTGAGTCCAGCACGATCTCCAGCATGATCTTGGTGGTGTAGCACTCAATGGCATTCAGATGGGCAGTCCGGACACCCTGTCGTTTGTCGCATTCCTTGAGAAGCGTCCGGGTTAGAGCCGTTTTCCCTGTGCCACTGTGTCCAAACAAGTATATGGCCGAGGGATAAGCCTCTCTTGCATCGCCTATGAGCTCACCCAAGGTGGAAATAGCCGCCTCCCGGCAGGGAAACATTGGTTCCAAGGTGGCACAAAGTGCTTCCATTTCCAATCAATTGCAAATTACCAATATATTGAGAAAAACAAGGGGTTTGTTTCAAGCAACTGCAATTACAACGATGCTTTAAATCTGTGGGACCATAGCAAGGGCGCCAAAATATACGAGTATCAAAGCAAAGTGGTTTGAGTCCGAACTAAAATAGTATACTTTACACGGTTCAGTATATTTTGTCACTGCAGAGTTTGGGTGTATTTTATGGGACAAACTGCGGTCACACTTGATCTCTTCGGGTGATTAATTTTCTGCATTTTACTTTTCCAAACGGCTTTTTCACGCACTTGTCTCTTTTGGAGAGCAGGAAAACCAGCCACTATCCTTCAACGCTAGCTTAATCGTGTAGACGGCCCAGAGTCCGCGATTAAAACTAGAGCGAAGCGAAGCGCGCAGCCAGCGGAAACAACGCCCACTCGAACGCCAAACTCCGAACTCCCGGTGAGCCGCTAACTGAGGAATAATCTACGTGTGTGGTTGGAGTTGGATCAAGACTGCATTCCGAGTGCATTTAGACCCCCCAACATGGCCGAGACATTCACTTTTGGCACCTCGCTGGCCTCAATCACCTGCCATGCGTGGAACAAGGACCGGACGCGTAAGTGTCATTACTACCATTACTCACCCGCTGCCGATGCCGTGACTCACCGAGATTACCCGCAGAGATCGCCTTATCGCCCAACAACCACGAAATCCACATCTACAAGCGGGAGGGCAGCGACTGGAAGCTAGCGGACGTGCTCAACCAGCACGATCTCCGAGTGATGGGCATCGACTGGGCCAAGAACACCAACCGCATCGTGAGCTGCGCCGCTGACCGAAACGCGTACGTGTGGACGCAGGGCGAGGACGGCAAGTGGAAGCCGACGCTGGTGCTGCTACGTATTAACCGGGCAGCCACATGCGTCAAGTGGTCGCCGGCGGAGAACAAGTTTGCTGTGGGTTCTGGAGCTCGCCTTATCTCGGTGTGCTACTTCGAGTCGGAGAACGACTGGTGGGTGTCGAAGCACATTAAGAAGCCCATCCGCTCGACGGTCACCTCGCTGGACTGGCACCCGAACAACGTTCTCCTGCTGGCCGGCTCTACGGACTACAAGGTTCGCGTCTTCTCGGCGTTCATTAAGGACATTGAAGAGCCGCCGTCGCCGACCCCTTGGGGTAACCGCAAGCCTCTTGGCCAGCTGATGGCAGAGTTCCGAAACTCGCTGACTTCAGGCGGCGGCTGGATCAATAGCGTGAGCTTCTCCAGCGACGGCAACAAGGTTTGTTGGGTGGGGCACGACAGTTGCGTCAGCATTGCGGATGCTACCAATGGGAACACGGTGATCCGCTGCCGCACGGGCTACCTGCCATTCCTTTCCTGCGAGTGGGTCTCACCCACCTCCGTCGTGGTGGCCGGCTACAGTTGTGTACCTCTGCTATACAGCTTGACCGCGGATGGGAAGCTGGTGCTCAGCGGCAAGCTGGACAAGTCGCAGAAGCGTGAGTCCAGCGGCATCACTGCCATGCGCATCTTCCAGTCGATGGACCGCAACATGCGTACGGAGAACACGGACACGGTGGTGGATTCAATCCACCAGAACGCCATTACCAGCGTCCGCCTGTACGCCGGCGACAAGGACTGTGCCAGCAAGGTGTCCACCTCTGGCGTCGACGGCCAGCTGGTCATCTGGAACGTCGAGCAGGGCGGCATAAACGGCGGCATGCGCAACCTACAGATCTAGTTCAGATCAAGACGGTCCAAATTTACATGTTATTGTCGTCTGTTAGCGAGTATGTTGGCGTTGGCCTGGCCAGGTGCGCAGTATTTTGCCAAAATGTTTTCCAAAAGCGCTTCTCCCATTGTTTTGTACCGTGCGAAAGCCTTTTATATAAATTAACTGAAGAGACTCGTTCTTTTCATACTACTTCTTCCACTTACAAGGGTTCTGAAAAGTCTGTGTGTGTGTTTTAAAGTGTTTCAACTCTCTATAGCAAACTGAATAAAATGTTTTTTATTCGCTAAATCAGTTTATTTTAAATATGAGTATTTTAGCTACAAATCCAAGGATATTAGCTACAAATCCAAGGATATTGGGAATGCTTTTAAATAAATACATATATGTATATTAAAAGCTTGTTAACTTAAGATTGGAAATACAAAGATAGTTGAAGGTACTTACATATATAACAAGCAAATTGGTGCAGATTAAAAAACACGTCAATTTATTTTTGTTCTTGAAAACCAAGTTCTTGAAATAATTATTTGCTTACAATGTTTATATGAAAATATTAGAAGGAACTGGAAACATATCTGTCATTTAATTTAAATTACATATTTGTTAACAAAAATAATTTTTTCCTACTTCTTTAAAAATTGGTTAAAATAGCTTTAGAATCGATATATTCCCTTGTAGGTTATAAAGTATTATCCAAATTCAAGATTACAATTTTTAACCAAATTTCCTATTTTACCAAAACAAAACATTTTGGATTTTAATTAAAAATAATTAGTTGATGTTTCATGAAAATTAAAAATTTCTGTTGATGTTAATATAAGGACTTTGTAGATTTCATAAAAGAGCATCGTTTCCAAAGGATGTTCGAAGTGCTTTAGGGACCCAAAATTTGTGGTTGATGTAGTGTGGCAGGATCCATTTAAAAGTAAAAAATAGTGCGCTTTTGAAGAGCAAGATAATTTTGAATATTATACCTACTTCTTACTTATTTTAAGTGCAATAAATTGAATATTACAAATTAGAAGGGTTATCCCAATATGACCTTAAAGTTGATTTGAAACCTCCGTCCATAAAGTATTGTTTCAAAACAAGAAGCTTTTAATTATGATATAGAGAAAATATGTCTTATTAAATTTAGTTTCCGGTAAGCTTTCTTCTAGTTATATTATATTTTCACGCTCTAATTTTTAAACTTTGCCATGAATTCTGTAGTTTAAAATATAAAACAATTGCAACTCCTTCATGAATAATAAATTATATGAAAAATATGAAAATATGTGTGGCAAATAACTATCAGAACATATTCATTCGTTTTTAATATTGTCAGATAAATCGTTATATTTTAGGCTTCCTTTTGTTGAATCTTGTGCATATTTAAAGCTGAGCAAAAATAACTTATTTAATATGTTTCATCTTGTCGTGATCATATTTTGATTGCATTAAGAATTAAGTTAAATTTTTCTGTTTAGATTTTACTCTTTGTCACTGGTATAAGAAACATTTTATTTATGCATAAAGTTCCAAAAAACCCTGAGCCTTAAATGCAAACTCATTTTAAAAAGAACATTTTCGAAATTTAAACTTAGCAGTGTGACCGCATTTGGAAAAATTACCGAAAAACAAGGGAATAACAATAACGCAGCCGGTGTATTCAGTCCGCATTGAAAAATGATAGATTGGTAAGATCGGAATGCAGCGTCTCCTGTTCAGAAACTATGCCAGCAAGGCTAGCCGGGAGCGCTACGCCAGCAGCAGTCTCAAGATCTACCGCAAGGCGAAACCACTGCCAAAGACGACGCCCAACAAGCCTAAACAGGCGGAAAACAATGGGGTGGACTGCCTAGCGGAGTACGCGGAGAATCTCGTCAAGGTGCAAATGATCTCGCGGAATCTGCACGCGCAGCTTTTCCCGCAGGCGCCGCGCATCGTTTCCGAGGAGCAGCTTGCCTCCGCCAAGACTTACCAGGATGAGTTGCGCCGGCATGGTGTCGATATTGAAAGCAGTACTCCTCAGCCAGACGTCCAGTTGAAGCTGCCGCAGCTGCGAGGCGCGAATATCGAGGAGCACTTCCACAACATTGCCAGGGAGCAGGTGCAGCCTTACGAGGAGCTGCTGCTGCCGCTGGTGCAGTGCACAGAGCTTCCAAAAAGACCCAAGAAATGGGCCTTCTTTGCTGGCTGGACGGCGTATGATCCAGCAGATGGCACTGCCACACCTGTGGATCATCCGGCGGAAAAAGGACTTGTTTTCGATGTAGAGGTGTGCGTCAACGAGGGACAGGCTCCCGTTCTGGCCACTGCTGTTAGCACCGAAAGATGGTACTCGTGGGTGAGCCCGAAGCTTACGAAACACCGTTTGAGAGTCCCCAGCGTAGAGCCCTTGGATGGAGAGACCGATGCAGAGAGACCTCATCACACTCCCGAAGAACTGATACCGCTGGGAGCCAGTGGACCCGGTCTTGTGGTGGGACACAATGTCTCCTACGACAGGGCCAGGCTCAAAGAGCAGTATCTAATCGAGGACACAGGTACGCGCTTTGTGGACACGATGTCGCTGCACATGTGCGTAAGTGGCGTAACCAGCTACCAACGAGCCATGCTCAAGTCTAAGAAGGAGCCCGCACCAGAGGACTTGGGCTGGCTTGAGCAGAGTTCCCTCAATAGTTTGGTCGAAGTGCACCGTCTCTACTGCGGCGGCGAGGCGCTGTCCAAAGAGCCCAGGAACATCTTCGTGGAGGGAACTCTGGAGCAAGTGCGCCAGAGCTTTCAGTCGCTAGTCAACTACTGCGCCGGCGATGTGGAAGCAACTCATCGCATCCTTCGAGTCCTGTACCCCATGTACGCTGAGCGCTTTCCCCATCCGGCCTCTCTAGCAGGTATGTTGGAAATGGGCTCTGCTTATTTGCCAGTGAACTCCAACTGGGAGCGATATATTCGCGAGGCGCAGCTCACATACGAGGATCTTAGCATCGAGGCCAAGTACCATTTGGGGCGCAGGGCTGAGGAAGCCTGCTCCCTCCTCCACGACGATAAGTATCGTCAAAATCTGTGGCTGTGGGACGAGGACTGGAGCGTTCAAGAGTTGAAAATGAAGCAGCCGCCTAAGCGGAAGCCATTACCAAGGGAAGAAGTCGAATCCAATGTGGGAACTACTGTAGAGCAGCGACGTCTGCAGGCCAAGTTCCAGCATCTGTATGATCAACATTCCCTACTGCCTGCTCGTAGACCTCTGCTTCCAGGATATCCACTATGGTACCGAAAGCTTTGCCGGAAGCCACCGCCGAGCAGGTACAAAAGAGAGGCGACACAAGTCCTGGAAGACACTGAGGAGGAGGACCTTTGGTCTCCGGGAGCCACCGAAATAAGCACTGGCATGCAAATCGCGCCAAAGCTGCTGTCACTCTGCTGGGAGGGCTATCCACTGCATTACGAGAGAGAACAAGGTTGGGGCTTTCTCGTCCCTTTTCGCAACGACACTGATGGAGTTGATCGGCTGCCATTGGAGCAGTTACTGGAACGTTGCCCCGTTCCGGAGTTTGCCAGGCAAAGCGCAACGCAGTCGGAGAGTGATCTTGCCATGGATTCACTTTCCGATCAACTGGAGCAGCACCTGGGCAAAAGGGAGCACTATAAGAAGCTATCGCAGAAACAACAGAGGCTGGAGACTCAGTATCAAGGTTCTGGTGTGTGGTGCAATAGGATACTGGAGGACTGCTGCTTCTTTCTGAAGCTACCACACAAGAATGGACCATCCTTTCGGGTGGGTAATCCCTTGTCCAGGGACTTCCTCAACAAGTTCTCCCAGAACGTGCTGAGCAGCGGTGATCCGTCTTGTCAAGAGGCCACGAGGGTCGTAGAAATTGCTCGCATGATGTCCTACTGGAGGAACAACCGGGATCGCATCATGGGCCAAATGGTAGTCTGGCTGGATCAGCAGCAACTGCCTGCTGAGATCAGGGGAGAAAAGACCCAGCTCAGGGCCTACGGAGCTATTTGTCCCCAGGTGGTTGCCTGTGGCACCTTAACCCGTCGTGCAATGGAGCCCACCTGGATGACAGCATCGAATTCTCGACCGGACCGCCTGGGATCAGAGCTGCGTTCAATGGTGCAGGCCCCCCAGGATTCAAGTTGGTCGGAGCTGATGTGGACTCCCAGGAACTCTGGATCGCCTCCGTTCTGGGCGATGCTTATGCTTATGGGGAGCACGGTGCCACACCGCTCGGCTGGATGACGCTTAGTGGTAGCAAGGCAAACGGCAGTGACATGCACTCAATCACGGCCAAGGCGGTTGGCATTTCAAGGGACCACGCCAAGGTGATCAACTACGCTCGCATTTATGGAGCTGGCCAGCAATTCGCCGAGACTCTCCTTCGCCAGTTCAACCCCACATTTAGTGCTTCAGAGGCCAAGGCCAAGGCCATGAAGATGTTCGCTATAACCAAAGGAAAACGGGTGTATCGCTTGCGTGAGGAGTTCCACGATGAAATGGAGGACAGGGCGTGAGTATTTTTCTTCCATATTTATCCGCGAAAGCCTCGTAATTATACCTTTTCTTACAGTTACTCCAGTTACGAGGCTTCTCGGCTGGCTATCCAGCGGAATCGCACCTTGGGCGAGGTCTTTCATCGTCCCAACTGGCAAGGCGGTACCGAAAGCGCCATGTTTAATCGCCTGGAGGATATCGCCACAAAGTCACAGCCGCAGACACCATTCCTGGGCGGGCGTCTTAGTAGGGCCTTGGAGGCAGACGGCGGTGCAGAGCAGGAGCAACGGTTTCTGCCGACCCGCATCAACTGGGTCGTGCAGAGCGGAGCCGTAGATTTCCTACATCTCATGCTGGTCAGTATGCGGTGGCTGATGGGACCACATGTGCGTTTCTGTCTGAGTTTCCACGACGAGTTGCGCTATTTGGTTAAGGAGGATCTGGCTCCCAAGGCGGCGCTGGCTATGCACGTGACGAACCTCATGACCCGCTCCTTTTGCGTATCCCGCATTGGTCTTAGGGACCTGCCCATGTCGGTGGCCTTCTTTTCGTCTGTGGAAGTAGATACGGTGTTGCGTAAGGAGTGCAACATGGACTGCCGCACGCCATCAAATCCGCACGGTCTGCGCATCGGCTATGGGATTGAGCCTGGTCAGAGTCTAAGTGTGGCTGAAGCTGTCGAAAAAGCCGGCGGAAATGATATTAGCAAATGGAACTGGATCAAATAATGTCGCTACCTCAACTTCAATATGCATTTTCGTAGGGTTCGGAGAGATCTTAAAGACTATTGGATGAAGTTTAAGTTCCTGTTATTCTTAAAATAATTTTTAAGAAAAAAAACATTTTGTTAAAATAAATGACGTAGTTGTACAACTGTTAAGGTATTTTTATGACCCCTATGCTTTGATGTCTACCGTAGTCCGTATTTCTTTCTCCAGAACTAGTGTTATTGATGCTTCCTAATCCTTCTGGTGATCAAATCAAATTATATTTACTGGCGAAATGATAGGTTGCCAAATTATTTGAAGGGAAGGTCTGGACAATACTGTTCCAGGGAAATCAAAGAAGTTCTAGGAAAACTGAAATATGTTCCAAACAATTAAAATCTTAAACTAGAGTAAAAAGAGAGCGGAGGTCGATCAATTTGAATTTTCTTTCAATATCTCTAAAATCTTCTCGGTTTCAAAAGACTCTTTTTTTCGAAGTACTAAAAAGTATATCGATAAAATGTTAATTTTTTTTATTCAAACCTATATTATAGCGAACACTCTGAGAAAAGCTTAGCTCTCACAAATGAAGTAAAACTCTTGTTAGTTCCCAATAAAAAGAATACGATTGAATCTAAATCAAAAGACCTATAAATATGTATTTTTGTTCTTTGTTTGGAGGTAATACTTGACATCCAATATTATATGTACAAGCGGGTGTGTAATTAACGATACCCTTCAATATTATATGTATGTACGGCATAAGCCTAAAAAGAATGTTTTCAACACTTAACCATATTTCAAGTTTCCGCATTCGCTTTTCCACACGAATACTACAAGTTCTGGCCGAGCGACTCGATCTCGTTGAGGAAGTAGACCATATCGGATTCCTCCAGACACGAATTCTGCAACACAAGTCGGAAGAAGTTGGGAAGCTGGCGCAGAGGCTGGTAAGTGATCATCATGGAGCCCTTCTTGATCATGGCCTCCTTAACTTTGGGTGCCACCTTATGCAACCTGTCGTAGAAATCCCGGTTGCGCTCCATCTGTCGCAGGCTAGGTGGCACATACCAAAAGCTGATGTTGGTGCACTCCGGATTCTCGAGGACCAGCTCGAACCCTGGACGCTCCCTCACCTTGGCGGTGAAGAACTCGGCCATCCGGAAGACCTTCTCGACGTGCGCCTCCAGGCCCTGGCTGCCCTTTGCCTTCCACATGAACCAGAACTTGAAGACATCCGCCCGGCGACCGCACTGGATGTGCTTATCGCCCGTGTCATAGGAGGTATCGTAGAACTTGTCCTTCTGGAAGAGGTAAGTGGCATTGGTCGAGTGGCACTGGCCCAACACCTGCTGGTGGCGCGTAAGAAAGGTGGAGCATTGCTGGGATGCCGCCAACAGCTTGTGGGGGTTCCATGTAACCGAATCAGCCCTGAAAATTAAAATATTTAAGTTTCTTCCCACTTGGAGAACTTTTAAAGAGCCAACTAACCGTTCAATGCCATTAAGGAGATGGCGATACTTCTTGGACATGAGAGCACCGCCGCCCCAAGCCGCGTCCACATGCATCCACATGTTGTACTTCTTACACAGCTCTGAGATACCAACAAGATCATCGAAGGCGCCTAGCACAGTAGTTCCGGATGTAGCCGACACCATCAATGGCTGCCAGTTGTTGTCCAAGCACAGCTTCACCTGATCCTCCAGGTCACTCAGACGCATCTTGCCCACTTCGTTGGTGGCTATCTTGCGCACATGCTCGCTGCCGAAGCCCATGAACATGGCCAGCTTCTCCACCGAGTAATGGGCATCTTCCGAAGTAAATATAATCAAAGGTTTGGCGTTGAAGAGTCCGTTTTTCTAAACAGATAAAGGATATAAAAGGGGTTTGTTTAAAATTTTTCATTATTATTGTTATGTTCTATATAAAATGGCGTTCCTCAGGTTAAATATAGGAAGATAAACTTTCACTTTCACATAATTTAGGTATTTTAGTTGGGAAACGTATTCAACCATTTTTTTAAGGAAACATCTTTGGATTTTACCTGCTTACAGTCTATCTCGCATCGAAGTCATCAAAATATATATTGTCAATTCCCATACAAATTAAAGCTTAAGTTGTAATGTAACACTTTTTGAGACTTAATTTGGGGGTACAAAACTTTAAAACAATATCTGTATCTGGGAGCTGATCTGAAGCGGCGAAAACTAGGTTTTCCGATGTATTCGCCTACAGGTTAATAATCTTAAAGTTGTAATAACATAGGTAGTGGGTATAAAAATACCCTATTAATTCAAAATCCTTTCTCTTTAATTATATTTGTAAGCGCAAAATTCATATAAGAGAATTAAAATACATTTTTTATGCACTGTCCAAAGACGGAATAACCTATTCATGAATTCTTAAGCACCACCTTTTTGACAAATATCAATACATACAATACATTTTTAAATATAACAAAATTGTTGATTTAAAATCAATTTAAATATTCAACAAAGTAAACCAGTAAAATTTGTTTGAAATAAGTAAATAAGATCTTCAAGAATTTTAAAATAGAGGCTTTTTAAATTTAAATAAATTGATTCTTTCAATCAAAAGCTTCACCGCTATGAAATAATTAATTTAAGAAAATCTAAATAATATCAAAACATATACAGGTTCGAAAAAGAACTAACATTATAAGCACTTAAATAGGCCTTTAAATTGGCAGAACTTTCAGTTTCACTTGCTTATATCACATCTGTGTATATGGGTATGGGTATGACTAATAATTCGGCCTGCAGTGTGGCGTGAGGCGTCGTTTCGCCTTGAACGGATCGCGGACTTCCGCGTGGAAGTGTGGCCCGAAACCACTTGTGTGTGGGGAGAGGGATCGAGCGGGTACTCACCTTGGACTCGGGAGCATATTTGTACCGAGCACAGCTGATTGCATAACCGTTGGCTATTGAACCGCCAGGACAGAAGATACCGTCGCCCTGCCCGCTGTTGGGGAAACCCACTATGCGTCGCATCTCGGCCAGCACCTGCTCCTCCATTAGCGTAAACAGCGGAGCCACCTCGTAGGTGTACACGCTGGGATTGAGGGCATCGGTCAGCCACTGACCCACCAGGGCGTAGGGATCCACTCCGGAGTACAACTGGTTGATAAAGTACGGATGTCCAGTCTTCACCGAGAACCTGACCGTCTCCCGGAGCAGCTCACGCAGCTTGTCCTGCGACTCCCCCTTCTCCCGCAGCTGGAAGTCGAAGAGCTGGCGCAGCTCCGCGGGCTCGTGCCACTCGACAACCTTGGAGGAGCGATTGGTGCCCTGAAAGACGGCCAGCTTGATGATCTCGTCCACGCAGGCTCGGATAAAGCCCTCAAACTGGGCGGCGGGATGGCTAGCCACAAAGCCGGAGAGGCCGTCCTGTGACTGCATGTCCGTAGTGTTATTATTGTTATTATTATTGTTACTGCTGCATCCGTTGGTGGTCAGCATTTTGCGGGCGGTCTCGAAGTCGACTGAGGCGGTATCAGGCGATAACGACGTGGTCGCCACCGCCGCGGTGGCTGATGCCAAATCATCGGCACCCGTACTGTAAGGCTTAAATATAGATTCCTTGAAGTGGTGTGCAGGGAAGTTCTCGCTGGCCAGCATTTTGTTGGCTCTTTTGGCTGCTGTTCACGACTATGTATACTGTATGGGACACTTGGCTAACGCTTCTATGCCGAATGCGACGGTTTGTTCCTGGTGCTGTTGCTCTTACTGTTGCTGCTGCTGCTGGTGCTGCAGGTTGCACTTGAAAATGATTCGGAATGGTCTGCGGACGAACTGAATGAGCTGACGCTGTTGTTGCTGCTTTTATAAAACGCGGGCCGAGTTCCACAACTCAGAATCCGAACGGGAAAGCGAAGCCACTTACATAAAGACAATGCTGCTCGAGCTGCCGATCGGCGTCGATCGTCGACTCGTCGATTCTGGTTCTGGTGCTGGGTGCTGGGTGCTGCTGGCGCTGCTGCCCGGACTGGGCGGCCTGGGGGAAAGTGTCGGAGTCGGAGGAAAGAGCACCACACACCTGTGGCTGGGGTTCCTCACCCGTTTATAGCCTGTCACCAAAGGGATTTCCCACTGGCCACCGGCCGCCGTCCATTCATCGCAGAATTCTCCAATCGCTGGGGTCTCGAGGCGAGAGATTGCGGGTAATTGGCTAATTGATATGCTCATGTAATACAATTATGTAGGAAAACGTCCACTATAATTGCCGCGAGATGATTATGCGCGGGGTTTCTCTCTCATTACCGGCAATCAAGTGAATTAAATGCAAATTCATTGAATAATTCTTTGGCCAATTGTTGTGTAAATTGCACAACTGAAACGTGATATCGAGAGATACGAGGGCTGTACACGAGAATTCGTTGGTGTAGGTCGTTTAGATCTGTCGTTAGGTAATTGCCACCACATGAATGTTGGTCAAGTTTAAAGAAAAGCGAAAGCCATCTACCTACCAGTATATCTACATATGAATGCTTATTGAGGCGATGCCTCCCCCTGCAAATGACTGCTGATGATCCCATATCTGATCTGTGCAGTGGCCTTGACTATAGGCTATGGAGTGAAGGGGGCGAGATTCTTAACCAGTGCATGTTCATCGGAAATTTCCCAAGTGCCTGCAATGATATATTAACGCTGTTCATAGGATAAAATTTGGCATCAAAATAATTGCTCGGTCGATTGCCCATTTCCCAGACATTCTGAGGTTCCTTTAACGAAATAATGACGTTTCCGATGTTCCCTGGTTTATTCACCTTGGCAACAACACCGATGCAAAATGAAAATTAATTCTGCGGTGCTTTACCGAATCCCAAATCAAAATTTGGATCGTTAAGTGACACATCATTGGGATCGTGTGCGGGTAACTAACTGGGGGAATTTATTGGATGCAACCCATAACTCCGGCTATAACTTTTGATAAGGGGCTGGACACACACACGTATTCGCACGAAAATACGAAAATACATTCAAAAACAAAAACCTGTTTCACCGAGAGCAGCCCAAATTAACAGGAAGTATTTGTTCAGAGATCAGCTTTATGACGTCTCTGACGTTAGAAAAGCGAAAGGAACTCTCAACGCACAACTCACAGAGCTGCTTCATAAAGATACTAA